CATTCCTCCCGCCATGACCCAAACGGAGCTTGATGAGGGGCTCGCCGATGAGCGCATCCGAGATTCAAAACTGGTTCCAGGACGCGCGCAGGGACTGGCCAGCCGCGTTAGGGCCAATGCAGAAGGTGATGAGACCATGGAAGCGTTCTACAACATCCAGCACCACGGCCTCTCGATCGAGCGGAGGTGAACCAGATTGCGAGTCGCGGCCAGACTGAAGCAGACATAGCGGCAGAAAGACATGACAACGGCACGGCGGTTGTGGTGGGGAAATTTGGGTTCCACGGAGACAACGCCCATGCAGCTCACCACTCGTGAGACCAGCACGGGCCCGGAAGTCAAACCCCGTCACAGCGAACATGGTAAAGCATGGGTTGGCTCTCTCGCTTCTCTGATTGGGCTTGACCCGGAAAGACTTCAACATTGCGCGGCTGCTGATCAGCTCGGTCGCACTTTCATCTCGCGCTCTCAGCCGAAGCTCCCGAACATGCATGCGACTGCGACAGTGATGGAACAAAAAAACGAGCGACGCGGGCATTTTTGAACACGCGCCCCTGAATGTCACATTCAGGATTCGCCCTTCTTGCCCCGAGCAAGATCAATCCCCCCTTCGATTTGCGTGCCAGTCGATGAAAGTCGCGGAAGCCCTGGAGCTGCCGATGGGAAAATGCCAGCCGGCGCATGATCTGAGGCTTCGTTTATCCAGAAGTGGAAAGAGTTGAAACGCATGATGCGCGGGGCTGCCAGGATTGCCAGAAATAAGATGACCCATTCCTCAACTGAACCCCCCAGGGCCCACTCTTCGATCGATCTCCAGAACGCAGCGCTACGATGATGCGCGCCCCGCCTGGACTCTCCTGGCCAGGCCGCGATTTGCGGCCGAAGCCCTTCAGAATTCCGGGACACCGGTGCCTGTCGCACCCCTGCCCAGCCCTGTTAACTTGCGTCGGAAATGACATCGTTCCCGCTGCCACGCGCAAGCATAATATCAAGCCGACTCCCGCGCGAGGCGCACGAAGGCCAACGAGGGTTCGTAGCTGGACGCATCAACTCGGACCCCATCACACAGCGAAACTCGCCCGATCGAATGTCCAGCGCGCGCCCAGGGGCCATTAGGGATTCAACCCAGCCTTCGCCCACTTGACTTCGGCAACGCCCCCCCCCTCTCTTGTTCAGCATGTTCCATGGGAGGTCCGAGACGCCGAGGGATCCACCCATGTTCCGGCAGCCGCTGGAGTTCC